GCAAACTGTCCCGAAGAACAGGGGCCTTTCTCTGACTTACAAGGGGTGGCAAGGTTTTTAAAGGGGAGTCAGTCTCATGGGATAAGGAGGGTATAGTTGCAAAACAGCTTGTTTGTCTAGGTAGTACCCTGAGCCCCAACTCAACCCCCATGGCATCCACCTGGCCCTGAGAGAGGGATCTCGTCACATCATGCCTGGCATCAGCTGCATCTTCCCAATGGCAGAATGACCAGTCTTGGAGATTGTTCCTCCTTAGGGCTTCCCCTTTATCCTCTTTGCAATGCAGTGAATGTGCTTTTTTAAAAAAAGTTTTTAGTAAGCATGCTATATTTGACTAAAGATTTTTCTTAAACTCCTTCCTCTTGCCCAAATTCTTCTAGCTCATTCTGAGATGCCAGTTATGGTGCCCTATGGTGCAGGTGTCTGACACTGACTCATTAGCAGGTCTCTGTGTAACTTGGTGGAGAGAGAGACCTAAGGAGAAATACAGGGTGTCCCTGGAGATATCGGTTGTTGGGCACTTCTGACATTTTAATTCTTATGTCTTTAATGAACAGACGCTGAAAAAGCCATTACTCTGAGTCCATACATGGACTGCATGACCGTAGATTGGAGTAGATTTCAGCTATCCTACAGAAAATACAATAAAGCCTTTTGTTCTTTACATAAAATTCATAAGGGAACTGAGCAATGCATGTTATTTTGTTGTTGATTTTTATTTATTGAAGTGTAGTTGATATGTAATGTATTGGTTTCAAGTATACAACATAGTGATTCATTGATTGGTCATTTTCAACTTTTATTAGTACACATATCAATGTCAGGTTGTTTTCTGGAACTTTCCCCTTAATTACTTGTTTTTTGCTCTATGAGAGGGATTTAGTCTACATTTATCTTCTTTTTTTTTTCCTAGTCATTTCAATTTTCTTTGTTGCAAGTTGCAATTTATAACATCATGCACAATAAATTAAAATTCTCTCTCTTCCCTCCTTTTGCAACCATTTCTTTCTTTCAAAATTAAGAACATTTGGTTATCACCTCATGGTTTTTCTGATATAGATAGTTTAGCTGGATAAGATGGTTACTTAGGTAAATATCATAATTTCCTTTTTCATATCATCTTGAATTACATACTTTACACAAGTAGCACAAATGTTTATAATGGAGCAGAAGAAAACACAGTGGAGTGTCCCAGATGATGTGATAGATTAAACTTATTTATCTAATTTTGCTTCTTTCTGACACCCTGTGAAAACTACAGGAAAGAAATTTAAAACAAATGATTAATCCACCAGGGTGGCTACGACATATATAAGAAAAACATTTTGTAAATTGGAAAGCAGATGAACAGGAGGCATCTTAGCCATTGCAGGAAACCAAATCCTCAACCTGGAGTGGAGAAAGCTGAGGACCACCCTGGTCTCTATGCACGGTCCTCAGCAGGCTGGGGCCTGGCAGCAGCAGGGACTCTGGAGCCCATGGGGGAGGGCTGGGGTGCAGAGCAAAATAAGCAGGCCTCATGAGAGCTGTTGTGAAAGTGAATCCAGCCCTTGGCTAGTGCCCCCTCCATCCTGGGTACCAGCTCCTCGCCCAGCCATGCAGGGTGCAGAAGGGCTACTCCCTGCATTGGGTAAACTGAGGATGTTTGCATAGTGGGTGGGGGTATCCGACAGTGCTAAGGGTGGGGCTGTCATATCAAAGCCAGAAATTAAGCAAATGTTTATACACTCAGCTTTTTCTCCCAGAATACCGAAAGCCAGCCTTTTAACTTCTGGGCGAGAGAAAGAAAAGCATTCTGTTTGGAAACTGAGCAGCCCTAGAAGAGAGGCCTAAACCCACTGATATCAAAAGCTCCCCAACAAACAACCCAGCCAGATCATTCTGCAGTGAAGCTCCACACGGATAAGCCCAAACCAAACAGCTCACTTCTTCCAGTCTGCTTTCTAGGTGCCCAAGCCAAACAGAAGCAGACAGCCGTGGATTGCCGAATATCATTAGGATGTCACTAATTCTGCAGTTGGAAGTTAAAATGAACCAATGGGGAAAAAAGCGATTTGGAGAAATCAGAAGCAGTGCAGAGAGAAGAAAACAAGAAAACAAAGCGAAACACCAAAATGATCATTACTATCCTAGAAAGTTAAGAGAAGATACTGCATGTAGGAAACACAGGATATTAGCCAAAAATACCAGATTCCAGTATAATAAAACAAAAATCCCAGAAATTTCAAAGAACAAAAACTGATTTTTAGAAATTGAAAGAATAATAGCAGAAATGGTATTGGGTTGGTTAGAAATCTTGAAAAAGAAAATTGAGTAAGTTTCCCAGAAAATAGAAGAAAAAAGACAGAGAAATGGAAACTAGAAGAGAGAACATAGAAAAAAGGAGGGGAAGAAAACATCAGAATTTTTTTCAAAACACTTTCCCAGAACTGAAGAACATGAATCTCGACTGAATGGGTCACTAGGTGTCTAGCATCATGAATCAAAAGTGAACCACATTGAAGCACATCACTTTAAAATTTCAAAATAGGAGGAAGATTCTACAAGTTTCAAAGATGGCAAGTCACATTGGCAGGATCAGCAATCAGAATTATGTTAGACTTCTTAACCGGGTCCTTGGAAGCTAAAACAGAAGACTGACTCCAAATTCTGAAGGAAAGTTATTTCCAGCCTAGAATGCGGTGCCAGCGAAGATATCAATCAAATGTAAAATAAAGACATTTTTCAGACATGAAAGTTCTAGAAAACTTTGCCTTCCATGCACTTTTCTCAGGAGGTTCCTGGAGATTGTGTGCCACCAAAGCAAGGGAGTAAGTAAACTAAGAAGAAGATGCCCAGTGCAGTCTGCAGAGCTGCAGTGCAGGAGTGTGGTGGCAGGAACCCTCAGGATGTTCAGAAACAGGGTGCCAGGGCAACAGCTGCACACAGGCGAGGAGGGGTCCCATTCCTGACCGGAGAGTGTGACTCAGGAGAGAGCCGCAGTCCTTTATGCCGCCCTTCCCTCCTCATGGGCCTAGTGGAGGCTGTGTCTGCCAGCACAGGGAACCCAAGCCTGAGACCCAAGAGACACGAGTCTAAACCTGAGACGGGCAACAGCCATTTGGGGATGGCAGCCAAGGGATGGTGGCACTCTCTAGGAGGGGTGTCTAAATAAAAAAGCCTGTATAAATAAATAAATATAAAATGATAGATTGATGAAATGGCATGTGAATGAAATGATTGAAAAGGCTTTTGGGAGGTATAGGAAGAATTAATAAGAAACTAAGCAGAGAAAGTTAATGAATGAAAAACCAAGGCAATTATTAATTTCAGGAAAAATAAAGCATACATAACATTGAATATATTCAACCCAAAAATTGTACTATTGATTATACTGGGAGGATGGGAGTGTGTGAAACAGACCAAAGGTGGTGTAAGAAAACAAAATCCTCAGCTCCCATAATGGAAAGTTGTGTGATAATGTCTGAAACATAAGAAGCAAAGAGAGCATTATTCTTTATTTAATATTACTATATATATATTTAGGAGTGGTGTGTTGTGATATCTGCAGTTTTTGGAAGACTTCATCAAAAATGTGTGAGTGTATAACTATATAAATATATATATATATATATATATACACACACACACACATATATGCTTTTGAAACTTTTCATAATAAAAGCTATGAATGAAAACCTTAGATGCAGAAAAATGAAGATATGTAAATGTTGGGAGCAGCAGCTCAAAGTGGTACTCCGTCAAGACAGAGACTGGAGGTGTGGGGAAGGGGTGGGGAAGGGGCTGGTGCTTTTCATGAGAAGCCTTTTTTTGACTTCCTAAACAATGAGCATGCCTCACTAAGTTAACAAAATTTATTTAGAAATTCTAGAAATTTAAAGAAAGGAAAGAAAAAAAGGACTCATGGTCCAGTTACATTCTACCACTGCTAGTTACATGATGGGCAAGTCCTTAACCACAGAAGACTTGTAAGGTTCTGAACTATTATATGAAGAAGGGCCAACTAGATCCTCTACTTCAAGTCAAAATAGCTTATTCTCCCATTAGACAGAAGAGATAAGCTTATCTTATTATTATTAATTGTTAACTACTAATTATATTATTATAAGAGTTATATCATTAATCATTATAAGATAAGCTTATTTGCTCATTTAAACTTTGTCTTTCTTCATTACTTTTAATTTTATATATATAAATATACAGAAGTAGAGATTATTAATCTGCATTGAATAGAAAAGTAATTATGATGATTACATTAGCTGTTTGTCTCAGAAATTTGCAATTCTACTTGAGTTAATCTTCATAGTCAATGAGAAAACCTAGTCTTCCTAGATTCCTAGTTTCTAACGTGGAAAAATATGGTGCATGCGAAACAAAAATAGCTCAAATGTAGAATCACTTGGGGAATAATTTGGGCTTACATAGTTAAACGAAAAATCTCCAAAGTCATATTCACCAGAATTACATCCAAGAACAACGTTTTATTTAGCAACTAACTGAGATGAATGGCAGCTTCAGTAGCTCTAAGCAAAGGCTCTATTCATCAAATTTAAGGACACAGGCAAAGGAAATTGATTCATTTCTGGACCTGATTGAGTTTCCACAGTTAGATGCATTGGAGGGAGACATGGCCTGAATGCTCCAATTCTGTAGTCATTGCCTGCATGTAATCTGGTCTGGAACACCCTGCCCTTGTGTCCTCAGGTCCAACCAGGCTCCCCACATGGAAAAGACTCTTATCTCCATACCACTTTTAGAGTGATCAATGAGATTTTTAATAAATACCTGTGATCTTTCAAGGAAAGTACAGCTTTCTCTTAGATGCCTGTGTGTATGAGACGGGTGGTGCACGGAAGACTGGAATACCTCGTAGGAAGGAGGGCTCAGCTTGGTACCTTGCACTTAGTGGGTGCTGTCTCAATGCTCTTTAAATCAATTGAAGGTCTCACATTAAACCTGCTATGTCTGACGCAGTTACTAGATTTATTTTCACCTTATAGGCATCACGCCAAGAGTCTGCGTGGGATCCAGAAGGCCCCTCGCCTGTGACATGTCACCAGTGCCACTTCCACAGTTCTTCTGAGTCATCTGAGTCACTGGCTCAGAGTCTTAACTCACCTCTAGAGTGCAAGCACTGCGGAGGCAGGGACTGTGTCTGTCTCGTTCACCCTTCACAAGGCACATAGCAGGTGCGTGGAAAATGCTTGTTAGTGGGGCAGGCTTGGGTCTGGTTTTCTGTTCTCAACACCCAGGAGGCTTGTCTGATGGCAGGCTGCTGGTTCCTTAGTTAACTCATTAACTTGGGTTTGTAAGCCTTTTCCTTGTAGTCAAAAGACCCTGGGTTTGAACCCCAGTTTGACCTATTAACTATAGGACCCGAGGTGATAGTAACACCTTCTTCACGAGATTCTAGTGACAGTTAAATGAAATTTTGTATAGATGTGTACATATATATCTATATACACATATAATGGATACATACACATACTTGTGTGTGTGTATATATACACACATATATTAATCTAGGGTAGAATCTATCATATCATAGGGTAGAATCTAACACTCAGTAATGTTAGATCTTTTCCATTAAAGGTCACATTACTGATATGTAGAGCTCCTCGAAAATAGTAGTAAGGGACTGAAAACTTTTTAATAGTTCAAAAAGACTAATAGAATTGTTATATTTATTTTTTATAATATTAAGGAGAATGTTAAGCTCTTTTGGGAAATGCACCACCTTGCTGTCTCAGGCTCGTTAGTGATCCTTCTTGGTACATACCTGTCTCAGATTAATTAAAAATGAGAAAATAAACTATTTATATGTAATTTAATATATAAACACTCACAATGCAGAGTTCATGAGGTGTCCTTGGTCACTTGAAACTACAGTGGATTCTTTGTTTTTCAGAACCACCTGGTTTGGGCCTGGCTTCCCAACTCCAGAATTACAATGGCTTCACACTATGTTAAGGGACTGTAGTGTCCACTGCTAAACACTTCAAGTGTGGTAATAAAACTAAACCAGTTTCACAACAGTAAGTACATACATTCTGGCTAGACCAAGCTATTAAAATTTTGCCTGAAATTCATATAACAGCTATGTAGGTCTGGTTGTCTGTTAGAGGATTTTATTGCAAATTACTAAATAGCAGGTAATGAATAATTTTACCACAGGCTTTTACTATTACATGGCAGAATCTCACAGTGGCATGAAATGACTATGGCAGTCTAAAATAAAGAGTTATATTTAAATAGTCCAGGTTATTTGTGAAATCCTATAAAACTAACCCTCAACTCTCTTTTATTTTACTCTTTAAAAGGTTTCAAGAAATTATCACCTAGCATATTTTGGTGAGATAACATAGAGATATAAAATCAGAGAACAGTGATTGTTTGCCAGCCTCATACATATGCTATAAAAAACCTAACGATTTCATCAGACATCACTTGTTTATTACCAAATTCCTAAGGGGTCTTCTTATGATATGAAAGTAAGAAAGAAAAAGAGGGAGGAAGAGATCTTTTGATCTTTCAGTAGTATTTCCTAACTTCTCTGATATGTGGATGATTTTAACGTTATTTTGTATTTTCAAATTTCCCATGATCCTGATCTGAAATGGACTGAAGCCAGATTGAAATCTGGGGGAAGACTACTAACAGGGGAACTAACCATTAAACCACTACAACCACGAGGTAAGCCCTATTTAAACTAAAGATGTTTTTGCTCCCTCGTCCCATATTTTTATCATTCCTCTGTTGAAAACATTATGCAACCTGCTCTAATGAAGACTGATAGTAAAAAGACTAATAGAATTGTTATATTTATTTTTTATAATATTAAGGAGAATGTTAAGCTCTTTTGGGAAATGCACCACCTTGCTGTCTCAGGCTCGTTAGTGATCCTTCTTGGTACATACCTGTCTCAGATTAATTAAAAATGAGAAAATAAACTATTTATATGTAATTTAATATATAAACACTCACAATGCAGAGTTCATGAGGTGTCCTTGGTCACTTGAAACTACAGTGGATTCTTTGTTTTTCAGAACCACCTGGTTTGGGCCTGGCTTCCCAACTCCAGAATTACAATGGCTTCACACTATGTTAAGGGACTGTAGTGTCCACTGCTAAACACTTCAAGTGTGGTAATAAAACTAAACCAGTTTCACAACAGTAAGTACATACATTCTGGCTAGACCAAGCTATTAAAATTTTGCCTGAAATTCATATAACAGCTATGTAGGTCTGGTTGTCTGTTAGAGGATTTTATTGCAAATTACTAAATAGCAGGTAATGAATAATTTTACCACAGGCTTTTACTATTACATGGCAGAATCTCACAGTGGCATGAAATGACTATGGCAGTCTAAAATAAAGAGTTATATTTAAATAGTCCAGGTTATTTGTGAAATCCTATAAAACTAACCCTCAACTCTCTTTTATTTTACTCTTTAAAAGGTTTCAAGAAATTATCACCTAGCATATTTTGGTGAGATAACATAGAGATATAAAATCAGAGAACAGTGATTGTTTGCCAGCCTCATACATATGCTATAAAAAACCTAACGATTTCATCAGACATCACTTGTTTATTACCAAATTCCTAAGGGGTCTTCTTATGATATGAAAGTAAGAAAGAAAAAGAGGGAGGAAGAGATCTTTTGATCTTTCAGTAGTATTTCCTAACTTCTCTGATATGTGGATGATTTTAACGTTATTTTGTATTTTCAAATTTCCCATGATCCTGATCTGAAATGGACTGAAGCCAGATTGAAATCTGGGGGAAGACTACTAACAGGGGAACTAACCATTAAACCACTACAACCACGAGGTAAGCCCTATTTAAACTAAAGATGTTTTTGCTCCCTCGTCCCATATTTTTATCATTCCTCTGTTGAAAACATTATGCAACCTGCTCTAATGAAGACTGATAGAGCCCAAGTCCCCATGTGTCATTCATGCCTCTTGGGCATGTGAAACAACTCACATTTCCATTGTCTGTCCGAAAAGAATTTGGGATGTTTTATGTTCCCCCAAAGGTCAATTCTATAATGAGATATGATATCCTAGAGTAAACTTTAATATGTTACCTACTTATTTGGGTTGAAATTGTCTGTTTTCATCCTGTGCTTACAATATGTAAATCAACCAAGAGCAAAACGTTGCGAGTGCATTTACTCCAACATGGATTATGTAAAAGTATGAAAAGAAGCAGTGGTCTTACTTAGTGTACATTTTAATGATTACCTCAATAACAATATATATAGAATTTCGTATCAGTTACATGGTATAAATATGTCATAAGCAATGTCTCATTTTATTCCTACAAAAACCCTGTGAAGTAGGTGGCGTAAATATAATTGTGTCACTTTTTTTATAGATGTGGAAACTGAGACTCAGAAGGAGTTTTAGTTACTGTTCGTAGTGAAATAACTAATAAGCACTAAAATCAGGACTCAATCTCTGGTCCTCTTATCCATAGTTCTGTATTTCTTTTTCCTTTTTAAAAAAATAGGTGAAATTCGCACAACATGACATCAATAATGTTAAAGTGTAAGAATCAGTAGCATTTTGTGCATTCACAATACTGTACAATCAGCACATCTCCCTAGTGTCAAAGCATTTTCATCAAAAAAAAAAAAAACCCGTACCCATTAAGCAGTCACTCCTAGCCCGTGGCGACCTCAGTGTGCTTTCTGTCTCTATGGGTTTACCTGTTCTGGATTTTTCATATAAACGAAGTGATGTAATATGTGACTTTTTGTGTCCGGCTTTGTTCACTTAGCATAGTGTTTCTGAGGTTCATCCATGTTGTGGCACATATCAGGCTTCATTTTTTTTTAGGGATAAGTGATAACCCACTTTATGCAGATACCAGAATTTTTTTATCCATTGATGAGTGTCCCACTTTTTTTTTTTTTTTTTTTGTCAACAGTGCTGCTAAGAACATGTGGGCATTTGTTGAAATAATGCTAATTATTGCTAATAGATATTTGGGTCATTTCCATTTCTTGGCCATTATGAATAATGGCTGCTGTGAATATGCATGTACAGATTTTCAGTCCTGCTGTGCATATACCTCAGAGTGAAAATGCTGGGTCATATAATTCCTGCTTAAGTTTTTGAGGAACTGCCAGACTGTATTCCACAATGTATGTTCCATTTTTTCATTCCCACCAGAAATGTATCCAACATTGTCACAGAGACTTGTTATTTTGTTTTTGTTTATTAAATGATAGCCATCCTAGTGAGTGTGAAGTAGTATCTCATTGTGGTTCTGATTTGCATTTCCCTAATGACTAATGCTGAGCATTTTTTCATTGTCCTTTTTGACCATTTCTTCTTCGCAGAAATGTGAAGTCCTCTGCCTATTTTTAAATTGGGTTGCTTCTGCATTTCTTTTTAAAAAATAAATTATGCCTTGTCCCCTAAAATTGTGCATTTGTTTCCCTGGAAAACTTACCATCCTGCTCTACAAGTGTGTAATTATATAAGGAAAATATAGTTATGCCTTCTTGAGATGTTTTTATGTGTGTATGTGATAGAGGGTCAGCCTCACCTATGAATAACATAAAATTCTCCACAGGTGGTAGAGTTGATAACCTGAAGGCTGCCATCATCCGCATGTCAATCACTGTGGTGCTGTCCTCAAACTGGGGGAGCACCTCAGGTGAGGAAGCAGGGCTGAGTGGTAGGGTGGATGGCGGATTTAAGAATGTAGCCTTAGATTTAACTTGGACCAGGAAGAAGGGGAGTTGTCTGCTTTGCTGCCCTGCATCAGAGAATAATGTGGCACCTGCTCTGGAGTGGAAGGTAAGGATGAGGTGGCATTGGGGGTGGGATCAAGGGAGAAAGCCAGACACTCTTCCTGCCCGGCTGCAGCAGCCTCCTGGGCAAAAGGGTATCGTCACAGTCAGACCGTTGCCTGAAGGAGTCATGATGATTTTTATGCCATTTGAATTTTGTGTACCTGTCTCCCTTTTTTTTTTTCTGTCTTGGTACTACGTATGGCTTTTTATGAAAGTGCCAGCCTGTCTCAGGAGTCAAGGGGACCAAGGGCTAAGGTTCTGTGCAGCTTGGGGCCCATATTTTGAAGGGGAAGCAGGGTCCTTGCTCTCAGAGCCAGGCAAGGTGGTGGCTCCGTGGAAATAGGGTGAGAAGTCACGAGGAGGAGGGAGAAGCTTGGGCCCAGGCTTCCCTGGGATCCCTCCCTGCCACACCGCTGAGTTTATCCCTCACAAAGCTCTATGCTCTTTTGCAGAGGCAACTGGATGTTAATGTACAGACTTTACTCCTATTTCTCCTTTTCACCTCCCTCCTTTTAAAACCTCCGTTTATGGATGGTTGGCTCTGGTCCATAATCTCAGGAAAAGGGAATACCTAGACAAAAAGCAGAAGCATACTATAAATCACTTGTTTTGTGTCCCAAAGGCCCAAAGATTGAGGGACACTAGGGAAAATGGAAAATGGAAGTTCCTGTGGCCAGGATTCTCACCTGCCCCTAGTAGGCTTGCTCACTACACATGCGTGGGCCATATGTTGTTACTGACTCTGCATAAGGAGCTCTGCCTGTTGCTCTGGGCTGCTTGGCTGCAGGAGAGCAGAGGCTGGAGTGGTGGCAGTGCCGCTGAGGATGGAGACTGAGACGGCTGCGGGGTCAGAGGAGCCCAGAGGCGGAGACTGGCCTGCTGCACGCAGACTCGCTCTGAGTGGATGGGATTCTAGTGACTGACCTGCCACCATGGGAATAAAGTTGGGTATAAACCCTTTCACCTCAAGAAGGTTCTCTTTTCATTTTTTTGTCTCACTGGATCAAGAGTGAATTTGCCCAGGGCTGAAACCCATTGGCAAGACACACTTAAAGACTGGGTTTGAACAGTGTTTGGGTGAGGAAGGGCCTTTCCTTTCACCTCTGAACCTGAAAGAAGACTCTCCACGGCTGGGGAGGGGATGGGGAGAACTAAGGCAGGTAGGTGGCCATGTGGGCATGAACACGGAAGTGTAGGGCCCAGAGCAGAGGGTGCTGCGCCCTGCTTCCCAGGAGAGTCTGAGAGGTGCAGGCTCCGGGGAGGGGAGGGTCGTGTGGGGTGTGCTAGGCTGAATAATGCTGCCCCCTAAACACCCACTTCTAGTCCCAGAAGCTGTGGGACAAAGGAGACACTATAGATGGGATTAAGCTAGGGATCTTGAGACAGGAAAGTAGCCTAGAGTGCCCAGGTGGGTGCCATCACCCACAGGACTCCCACAGGTTGGAGGCAGGTGAGCAGAATCAGTGAAGATGTGATGATCTGACAAGTGCTGGCTTTGGACATGGAGGAAATGTCTGCGAGTTGAAAAAAGCAGAAGGTAGAAAAGCAAGTAAGCGGATTCTCCGCTAGAGCTTCCAGGAGGGACCAGCTGTGCTGACCCCTTGGTTTTACTTCATAAGACCCACTTGGGACTCTGACCTCCAGAACTCTTAGGAGAATGTATTTGTGTTGTTTGGAGTCTCTGAGTTTGTAATGATTTGTTACAGCAGCGCTTGGAACTGAGACAGTGGGGTTGGAGTCAGGGAGGACTGGGGCTGTGCGCACCCTGCATGGGGCTGGCAGAGCAGAGGGCCAGCAGGAGCCTGAGGAACCGGACGCAGGGTCAGGGGAGCCCCGGCACTGTGTGGACTGGTGACTGAGGGTGGCGGCTGTGGGGGGGGGCATGACGGGAGCATCCAGAACTTCCCATCACAGTCCGAGGCGAGGCTGGACGCTCTCTCCAAGTGATATTACATTCTGTCCTCCAGCCTAAGTGGGCACTTAAAGTATAAGTGAAGGGGCTGCACTTATATTTGCCCCCTGAGCATGGGGGCTGAAATTCCTACTATCCATGGTGTTTTTCTTTGAAGCGGAGGGGCCGGAGCATCCACCATGAGCCACATGCTTTATGTACATATACTCTAGTTAGTTTTCACAGCCCACCGAGGGAAGTGCCACTCATTATCAGCTTAATTTGCTCCTGAAAATGTGCCAGATAGAGGATTTTTGGAATGAGAGAGGTTATATTCCATTATTTTAAATATCAAAATTTATAATGAGTTGCAGGCTTATCTGAAAATTGCGATCAGTTCACTCCAAAAGTCACTAAACATCTTAAACATCTATATACCAATCCATCAAGAATTTCTGCATCATATAAAGTAATAAGAACACCAGTCATCTAATTATTCAACACATCAGTGGGCATTTTGTGTTTGATACATAATACTATACAGTACCATGTACAACTATATCTTCCTTCTACTCTGAAATGAACTGAAATGAAAATAACAATACACTTATGTGTTAAATATGCACAATGAATGCAAACAACACAAAGTGCAGTCCCCTAGGGCTGAGATGTGAGCATGGGGCTCTCTGCATCTCCTAGCCTAGGCCCAGTGTGCAGCAAACTTCTCTGCCATGTCTATGAAAATTTCTCAAAACTTGGATAACATGTAGCTCACAGTCAAGTTGGAACAGTTGTGAGTGACAGAGGAGCTGTGCATCATTACAGTGGATTAAGACCTGAAGCTGGAACTACCCAGGCCAAAGCAGGATGTGGGTTGTTCTACTCAGAGCAGCTCTGTAATTTGTAGAATGAGCTTTGCAAGTTCTCTGGTAAATATTTGGATAGTAAGAGTTCAGTCTTGTCTTATTTCTGTTTTTCAGTCAAGAGAAACCAGGACTCAAGGAGAGGAAGCATTTGCCCACGCTCATGCAGTAACTTCCACCGTGGGGACCTCACACCAGGTCTGTATGCTTCACAGTGTGGTTTTCATCAGTGATTTCAAAGACATTAGACTTGGACCTCTTTTCTGAGACTCCAGAGAACTCATTCCAGCCCCACAGCAGGCATGGAGTGGCCTAGAGCAACTCCTTCTTCCTGTTTCCCCAACTCACAACCTGCAGTGCTGATTTTAAGGGGCCAGTTTGAATGGTTCTTCACTATGAGTGCCTGGGCCTGCTTCAAGGCATCACTGCAGCAGGGGAGAGGAGACAGGAGCCTTCTGTTAATGGAGCACCATCCATCCATCCATCCATCCATCCATCCAACCATTCATCCACCCATTCATTCACTCATCCATTCATTCATCCATCCGTCCATAATTCAATCACCCATTCTTTCTACTAATATCTGCTGCCTTTTGCCTATAACCCATGATTCTTTCTCATGACCCCTGTATTAGTTTCCTGAGGCTGTTGCCATGACAAAGTACCACAAACTGGGTGGCTTAAAACAACAGAAATTGATTTTCTCACAGTTCAGAGGCCAGAAATCTGAAATCCAGATTTCAGCAGGGTTAAGTTCCCTTCAAAGGCATAAGGGGAGAATCCTTCCTTGGCTTTTCCAGCTTCTGCTGGCTCCTTGACTTCTGGCAGCAAAACTCCAATCTCTGCCTCTGTGTCCATACGGCTGTCTCCCAGGGTGTCTGTCTCCACATGGCCTCCTAATAGGGACACATGTCATTGGATTTAGGACCCACCTTAATCCAGGATGACTTGATATTAAATACTTACATCTGCAAAGACCCTACTTCCAAATAAGATCACATTCCAGACATGAATTTGGGGACCACTAATCAACTCAGCACCACCCCCCTTTACTTTTCACAAAATCACCGTTCCTGTGCTGTTGAAAAGCATGAGCAAGCATTAAGCATCACCAGAATATCCACGGGGGAAGAATCTTGGGTGCCACAGTCTGATGGCAAACGATGGGTGGAGCAGGGCTACAGGACTGTCTGGAAGCTATGTTTGCAGCTCTTTTTATAAGATCGGCAGAAAGTCCACTTCTTTTATGGTGACTAGAAGGTTCTGATGGAAATGTGGGAGCCTTCAGACAATCCAGAGCCACTTCTTGCTATCATCATGATCAGGAGAAGTCTTTAGAAAGAAGAAATTCATCTCCACCTCATTTTTAAAAAATATTTAAACAAATAGTTTAAGTTGAATAGATATTACTTGAGCAGATTGGTTTTTAGAGTTAAGGATTTTGTAAACTTACTCTTTCTATATTTTTCTGTCAACTTGTTTATGCCAGTCTTGTCTTACACCTTCTCCACTTTTTAAAAATTTTACATTTTCTTAAATGTGTAATATCCTTGTCATATCCAGCTATCACCCTGTCATGGGTCAAATACCTTGTACCTCATCTAGTTTTCCTGATCTGCCTCAGTGCCTCTGAGGGGATCTGCCAGATACCTTTGAGCAGATGCCCTTGGCATTCATCCGACAGCATACATCCTGTGAGCAGGGTGAGTACTGCCCCTATTCATCTTGGCATCCCTGTATTTTACAGCTTGCCTGGCTCAGAGGTGGTACTCAACCATGCTTATTGAAAGAATACCGTATGTGAAAAAGAAACAAATGTTGCCTCCTCTGCTAATTGGATGTGCTAATTTACTTTAAAATATTTCCCACTTGTCATTAGGCTGAACTGCACACTTCTTCCAGCTGCTGCCTGGTAGCCTCTGCTGGTACCTCTGCTAATATGTTAGCTTGTGATTCGTTCCTCCTTCTAATAGCTATTGTGACTCCATGGACTTTACAACAAGGAGAGTGTGAGCTGCCAGGTAATCATGATCCAAATATTCTAGATCCCAGGTACAAATTCAGATGTAAAGCACCTCCATAGAAGTGCAGAGGAGATGCCCACATACACGTCACATGAGGCTACTGCTCACCTCCCAAGCAGGATGAGCACGCTTCCCTGTCTTGTAAAAATGGCTCTGGTTTTTGTCATTGGAAAAGAGCCTAGTGAAGCTTGTGCTCCATGAAGAGAAATTATGGGAAATTCTTGACCCAATCCTAGCACAAAATGTAGGTCATTAAAACTGGCACGCCTCAAGCTTAACTTTCAATGCGCACAACTTGGGACTTGCAAATCACAAAAAAAAAATAGATTATTATAATTTTCAAGCAGGCACACTTCAAGCATTTCCAGTTCTAGTTCCTCAGGGGGATTGTTCACAGGAAAGTCTCTCCTAACTTTGCTAGGTGTCTGGTCCAGAGAAACACTAATGATTACCCTCCTTTCTCAAAGCTCTCTCAGTTTGTCCACCATCAATTTAATTTTGATGGCAGCAGAATTTCCAGAACATTCAATCACACTTGCTGAATTTCAATCCAGAAAAGAGGTGAAGATGAAAAATTTCAGCCCATTAAAAAATTTAACAAGTTCTCTCATTTCCTCCTTTCATTTTCCTTATGATAAGCAACATGGCAACACTGAAGCAGTGGGGGTAACATTTGGCCTTTTATCTAGATTCCCTCCTTGATTCCATGTAACACTGACTTAAAGATACTTCGTTAGGGTTCAAACACCAAATCGTGGTGCCCTGTCACCGCTGCCACTCGGCTCTCCACCACAAAACTGCCGAGCCTTTGCAACACAGCTGCTCACTTAACCTAGTTGGATGAACTCTCCATTCAGTGTTGGTCTCATTTCATTGGTACCAATATAATCCCTTGTATTGGGCCACTTGGTGTCCACCCTATGCAGCCATCTGATTACCTAGTGTTAGGTAGGCAGGCTGAGGGGTGCCTGACTCATAGTCAGGGGGATGTGGCACAGCACAGTGGGAGATGAAGCTCTGGAGTTCCCCAAGACATGACAGTGTACATATGCTTGAAATTCCATGTATATTCACAGAGAGCGGGCCCTGTTCTGCACACCAGGTAAGAGAAGGAAACGAAAGGCAAAAATTCTGTCTCTCATGGAGCTTACAACCTACGGTGGGAGACAGACACTAAACAAAATAAATAAGTAAAACATAAGCTCTCTAAAATAATGATACACACCTTAGAGAAAAATGAATGAAGGAAGCAATCAAAGCAGGCCTCACTGAGAAGGTGAGATTTTCATAAGGGGTAGAGAGGGAAGAGGGATTGAGCCATGAAGACATGGGGGAATACATTTCCAGGCAGAGGGAAGTGCAAAGGCCCTGAGGTGGCAGCCCACCTTTTTGTCATGAGGAACAGTGAGGAGGCAGTGTGGCTTGTAAAGAGTTAACAAGAAGAGAGGGGAAGGAGGGGAGGCCTTTCAAAGACATCAACTGTAATGAATTTAGCATTTCCTAAGGAAAATTTTATTTCCAGCATTAAAAATAAAGAATTGTAATGTATTTGGTGGAAAGGAAAATAGATCTGACTGTTTGACTCAGTCAAGTTCCCTTTCCTTTACTCAAGAGCAAGAATGCTGGAAGAAGAAGAAGAGGCAAGGGTAAGAGGGAGATGGAGAGGACAGGCTAAGGGGCAGGCATGCCCAGCCCTGTGGGCTTTCCCCAGTCTGCGCTACCCCTGCCATCCCTGCGCCAGAGCCCCTTCTGCCCACTGCGGCTATTCTCTGCGGGACGCTGGAACCCCACAGGGAGCTGACCTGTGCAGTGTGGAGCTGGCGACTCCCTGAGATACATCTTCCATCTGCCCCACCTACACGCTCCCCTTCTACAGCTGTCGGCCAGCTCCTAGCAAGAAGCAGCAGTGGGTGGTATTTCTCCTCTCTAAATGAGAGGAGGAGGTTATAGGGGAGACATTTTGTTCACCCAGCATTTGCTCATTGAACACATATCTTGTGAAGCCCTACTATGTGTCAGGCACTGCTCCCTGGGCTAAGACAGTCTTACTCCTGTTCCCAAGGACATTTTATGCCTGCCACAAACAAAGGACACCTCTGCAGGTGTTGGGGCTACATTTTTTCACCTGAGACAGAAATAAGTACAAGAAATGCTTGAACAGCCTCTCTGTACCCCTAATACCCCAGGTGAGAAAAATTTATATAGTAGATGTATTGATACTTCAAGAATAAACAAGAAGACTGACTCAGGCTGTCTTAAAGATCCCAGTCACATTAAGGCTGCAATGTCTTTTAAGAGCAAAGCAACTTTAAAGAATGGGTCATATTGTTCCTTCCACACTGGCATCTTTCTATTCCTCACTTCTGTAGGAAGTCAGCTTCTTGCTCTCTTCCTTCAAAGAGCTGGCTTTTATAGACCCAAAGACTCCCAAATTCACACTACCCATGAGGAAAGATCTGATTGGTCAGCCAATCCCCTTCCAGCACAGAGTGTGCCTCTGCGTAGATATCATGGACAAGGCCACCTAGTCAGGTTTAGAGAGCATGATGAGGTCAGGATCCACTCCTGGACAAATTAGCTGTGGTTGGTGTACTGGTTTCACATGATACAATTATATGTTGCATTTGCCAATAACAAGCTCCTCACCAGGGAAGCGATGGAAAAATGCAGGCACAGTGGGGGTTCCCAGACAGCTCCAACTTTAATTTTCCCAGTCACTGGAATTCTGTACCTTCAGAGAAGTGAGAGGAATTTATTCTTCATCCCCACCTCTTTCTTTCCTCATCAGATGTCCATCTCCCCTGGCCTACCACCTTCCCACCCCTCCCCAATACCATCACATCCACCTGTGCAGGGGTGCCCTTGTGAGTGTGTGTATTTGCTCACATCCATTCAGGTATCTGGAACTTGGGTGGAGATAATAAATGAAAGTTTCTCCCATTATTCCAGGAGCTGAAGTAGCTTATTTCTGAACTCTGCGTTGCATGTTGAATTCATGAAATTCAAGGCACTTCAGATTAATTTGTTTGCTCTTTCAGATGACTTGGGGCTTTGCTGGGACCAGCCAAGTTCCTGATTCTTTCCTCTGTGTTGATTAGATCACATAATGTCTTACACTCAGATTTCTCCACACCATTATTACACTCAATGGACCTCATTGAGAATGTCATGGCA